AGACTATGGAAAATAGGGTTGGCTACTCAGGATGAGTTTAGGAATATAACTAGGTCATGCAGAAAGAAAATTAGAGAGAGAAAAGTGCAATTTGAAGTCAATTTGGCTACTTCTGTTAGGGATAAGAAAAAGCGCTTCTATAAATACATTAATAACAAAAGGAGGGGCAAGGAAAACCTCCATTCCTTGTTGCACTTGGGGGAGAACATAGTTAACAGGGATGACGAGAAGGCTGAGGTACTGAACACCTACTTTGCCTCAGTATTCACCAGTAGGACAGGTGGCCCTCAGGACAACCATCCTCCGGAGCCAGTAGACAGGGACAGGAAGCCAAACAACCCCCCTGTATTCCAGGAGGAAATAGTCAGTGACTTACTGAGCCACCTGGATCCACACAAGTCCATGGGACCAGATGGGATCCATCCTAGAGTGATGAGGGAGCTGGCAGAAGAGCTTGCCAAGCTGCTCTCCATCATTTAACAACAGTCCTGGCTCACTGGGGAGGTCTCAGGTGATTGGAAGTTGGCAAATGTCATGCCAATCCACAAAAAGGGCTGCAAGGAGGACCCGGGAAACTACAGGTCTGTCAGCCTGACCTCAGTGCCTGGCAAGGTTATGGAGCAGATCATCCTAGGTGCAATCACACAGCACCTACAGGATGGACAAGGGATCAGAGCCAGCCAGCACAGGTTTAGGAGGGGTAAGTAAGTAAATGGCCAGTCTCTTTGCGAACGAAGAACCGGGGAAGGTCTTTCCACCTTCCAGCCTGCGCATTGGATTTTTTAGGTGAGATACAGTGTGCGCGGAACTGAGCCCACCCTTTAATCCTGAGGTTCATCTGCCGGGGCCAAGCACGCTTGGACGGTGGCAGCGAGGTCCTCAGGACGTAGATGGATTGCCTTACAGGGCTAGCGAGCTCCATCTGCCCGGGGAGTGTCCTAACCGGGAATCGAACCCAGATCTCAGCGTTGACAACGGTGTGGTGTAGCCACTGCACCACCAGGGACACTAGGAGGGGTAGGTCCTGTCTGACCAACCTGATTTCCTTTTGTGATCAGGTGACCCGCCTGGTGGATGAGGGAAAGGCTGTGGATGTGGTCTATCTGGACTTCAGCAAAGCCTTTGACACTGTCTCCCATAATATACTACGGAAAAAGCTGGCAACCCACGGCTTGAACAGGGGCACTCTGTGCTGGGTTAAGAACTGGCTGGATGGCAGGACCCAGAGACTGCTGGTGAACGAGGCTGCATCCAGCTGGTCACTAGTGGTGTTCCCCAGGGGTCAGTGCTGGGCCCAGTCCTGTTTAACATCTTTACCGATGATTTAGATGAGGGGATTGAGTCCATCATTAGTAAATTTGCAGATGACACTGAGTTGTGAGGGAATGTTGACCTACAGGAAGGCAGGAGGGCTCTGCAGAGGGACATGGATAGGCTGGAGAGTTGGGCTGATTCCAATGGGATGAGGTTCAACAAGGCCAAGTGCTGGGTCCTGCACTTTGGCCACAACAACCCCCTGCAGCGCTACAGGCTGAGGACACAGTGGCTGGAGAGCAGCCAGGTGGAAAGGGACCTGGGGGTGCTGATTGACAGGAAGCTGAACATGAGCCAGCAGTGTGCCCAGGTAGCCAAGAAGGCCAATGGCATCCTGGCCTGCATCAAGAACAGTGTGGCCAGCAGGAGCAGGGAAGTGATCCTTCCCCTGTACTCTGCATTGGTGAGGCCACCCCTTGAGTATTGTGTCCAGTTCTGGGCCCCTCAGTTCAGGAAAGACATTCAGGTGCTGGAGCGGGTCCAGAGAAGAGCAACCAGGCTGGTGAAGGGACTTGAGCACAAGTCCTATGAGGAGAGGCTGAGGGAGCTGGGGTTGTTTAGTCTGGAGAAGAGGAGGCTCAGGGGTGACCTCATCACTCTCTACAACTACCTGAGAGGAGGTTTTAGCCAGGAGATCTCTTCTCCCAGGCAATCAACAGTAGGACAAGAGGGCACAGGTTTAAGCTCTGCCAGGGGATGTTTAGGTTGGATATTAGAAAGAAGTTCTTTACAGTGTTGCCTAAATGGTTGTGGGGAAAAAAAAGACTGCAAGCCAAATTAGGTAGGAGATAAGGATACAGAGGCTTGAATGAGCCCCCAGGCTTTCCAGAATACCCCCAATGCGTGCTCTCAAATACAGGTGTTTTCAGTTTTTATAATGATTTTCACCCAATCCCCGTCCAGCCACCACCCAGGTTCTGCCACCACCCAGGTTCTGCCCCGCCACGCCTCTTGGGAATTGGGTCTGGGGCGTTTTGGGACCCCCTCTTCTTCATCTTCCTCTTCCTCAGAGCACATAATGTTCTTGGAGGCCTTCCAGAGTCCTAGGTCTGAAGGTTGTTGCGTCTATGGCTATATCTTCTTTTGCAGGATTAGGGTGTTCTCTACAATTCTACCTTGAAAATGAGACTAAACAGGTCAGTGGAATTTAGGGGAATTGATATGGGAATGGGTAACAGGGTTTGCTATGTGTGGTTGGTGTGTTAAAGGGTAAGGGATGTATTGCTACTTTAAAATCTACATTTACTACATAACTACTTCTAAGTTCTACAAAGTTAAAAAATCAAAACTCCAAGGTATCATTCCCCCCTTTAGAGACTGGACAAAACTTAAAAATTTTGTCCAATCTCTTCTACTTACATCTAATCCTTTTCAAAAGAGATGACCAACATCTACAACAGTGACTCATGCAATGAGCTATTACACAAACACTATGTACATCACCAATAGAAACAGTTGTTTTATCCAGGTCTGTGGGGAGTGGACGAATGGAATCTTACAAGGAGTGCAGAGAGATGCTAGAAGAACTCGAATGGGCCTCTCAGGAAGACATCCATCTCGAAGTACTTTGACAGCCAGAACCAAGGAAGAGCTGCAGTCCAGTGATAAAGAACAGACCCTGCAAAAACCCACCACCACTCCTTCCTGGCCTTCCCCCTCTCCCTATGTGGCCAGACATATCCCTATAAGCCAATCTCTCCAAACCCCCTTATCAGAGACCCTTGGGATTTGATGTTTCCTAGCATAAACCCGCCCTTGTACTAGAACTCTCTATAGCCCCGCTAGAAAAGCAGCTTTGTAATAAAGGAATTCGCCATTTTGCGAGTCATATAACACTGTGTGTATGTCTCATGTTCCTATGCAAGATAGGCCCTGGGTCGGTTGCGTGGACATCCCCCCCACGCAAGACAGGTCCAGTTCAGTAACCATGAAGTAAGTTTGTGGAGAACATCTCCCAAACCCAGTGAGACATTATCCAGAGATACCTGATATAGAATTTTGGTTTGGTTCCGAATTGCAGCCAAATTCATAGTGCAAATTCAGCACTCACTTTCACAAAGAATATTAGGTGCCAAATGTAAACTAGGTTCTGAACTTAATTCATAGTTACCAACTGTACAGATAATATGCACAACAGAAACAGTCTATGCCACATATTCTTCATCTGAGTCAGGTTCTGCTTTACTGATAGTTCCAGGAATTGAAGCTTTCTTCACTCTGGAGTAATGAAACCAGGGTCCTTTGCTGGCAACTTTGACGGCAGTGAGGGAAGTCAGCAGGACTTGGAAAGGTCCTCTCCACTTGACTCTCAGAGGGTCACTGTCCCAACATTTGATGTAGATCCAGTCTCCTGGTTGGAATTGATGAGCAGGGGTGTCCAATCCTATGGGCCTGGAAAGCTCGACGAATTTCTGGTGCTTCTGTGAAGTAGAACCTAAAGCAATCAAATACTTTTGTAAATCAACTTTCCCTCTCATGTGAATGTCCCCTGGAATGTGCGGAGACTGTTATGGTCTTCCATACAATATTTCATAAGGACTTATGTTATCCCTCTGCCTTGGCTGGATACGAATCCTCAGCAGAGCTAGAGGTAAAGCCTGAACCCACGACATGGATGTTTCCTGACAAATTTTGCCAATTTGCATTTTAAGAGTGCCATTCATGCGTTCGACTTTGCGACTTGCTTGAGGTCTATAGGGAGTGTGGAGGTCCCAAACAATTCCTAGGACACGACACACCTCCTTCACTATCTCTGCAATGAAATGTGTCCCTCTGTCTGATGACATTCCCAGAGGAACCCCAAATCTTGGAATTATGTGATTAAGCAAAGCTTTTACCACTTCCCTTGCTGTGTTTGTATGACACAGGTAAGTTTCAGGCCATCCACTGAAAGTGTCAACCAGTACCAGTATGTTTTTGTACCCCTCCCTTGGTGGTAACTCAGCAAAATCTATTTGCCAGTAATCTCTGGGAAGGTTCCCAGCCTTTGTTACTCCTAGCACCACCCTCTTGGTTGTATTAGGGTTGTTCTGCTTGCAGATTTCACACTTACTCACTATGGATTGCACGCCTTCAGTCATACCTGCCCCTATCACTACCTTCTTTAGGTGTTTAAGAAGGTTTTCTATTCCCTAGTGGGTAGCCTCATGTTCCAGCAGAGCTATTTCCCTTAGGAGTGGGGGTGTGACCACAACCTGTCCTGTTGGAGTAACAGCCCACCCACTTTCTTTGATTTCAGCTTTAAGGGATTTAATTAATTGGTGGTCCTTTTCATCATATTTTGGGGTGTACTCTGTCAAATCGATTTCTTTCTGTGGACCTACTGCTAGAATGCCTTTTTCTGCAGCCCCTTTTGCAGCCTGGTCAGGAAAATGATTTCCCAATTCGGGCATTTTTTTCCCCTTCTGATGAGCTCTACAGTCCATAATAGATACCTTTTCTGGCTTCCAGATACTTTGAAGGAGTGCATGGATTTGGTCGGCATGTTTAATCCCACTGCCTTGGGCAGTTAATAGCCCTCTCTCTTTCCAGATGGCTCCATGGGCATGTACCACACTGAATGCATACTTAGAATCTGTCCAGATATTTACTTTCTTACCTTCGTTCAGCTCTAGAGCTCTTGTCAGTGCAATCAGTTCTGCTTTTTGGGATGACACATCAGCAGGCAAAGCCTTCACCTCAATTACCTCGTCTTTGGTTGTCACAGCATACCCTGTCATCCATTTTCCATCCCGCATGAAGCTGCTTCCGTCCGTGTATAGTTCCCAGTCTGGGTTTTCCAGAGGCACATCTTTCAGGTCTGGTCTGCTGGAATAAGTCTCCTCGATGGTCTGCAAACAGTCATGCTCAGGCATACTGTCAGTCAATGTTGTGGACAGAAACATAGCAGGAACAACAGATCTTTTTTCAGGGTAACATCATCCTGTTCCAACAACACAGCTTGGTACTTGAACATTTTCCTAGGGGAAAACCAGTTTTGCTCAAGCACAGCTTGGACTGCATGGGGTACATACACGACAATGTACTGTCCCAGGGTGAGTTTCCGGGCCTCTTGGATCAAGACAACAGTCGCTGCCACAGCCCTCAAACACCCCGACCATCCTTGGCTGACACTGTCTAGCTGTTTGGAGAAGTAGGCCACAGCCCTTTGCTGGTTTCCCAGAGTCTGTGACAGTACCCCCAGGGCAACATTTAGTTGCTCATATGTAAACAGTTCAAAGGGTTTGCTTGGTTAGGTCTGGTAGTCCCAGTGCTGGAGCTGACATTAAGGACTGTTTCAGCTGTTTAAATGTGGTTCTGATCTCATCTGTCCATGTCACAACTCCTTCCTTGGCTGCTTTCAGTGCTTCATATAGGGGTTTGACTAATAACCCATAGTCAGCTATCCACAGGCGACACCATCCCACCATTCCTAGAAAAGCCTGCATTTCTCATACAGCGTGAGACTCTGGGAGATGGCAGATGGCTTCTTTCTGATATATGCTGAGCCGTCGATGTCCACGATAGATTTCAAGCCCCAGGTAAATGACTATTTCCTTTGCAATTTGAGCTTTCTCTTTTGAGACCCTATACCTACTTAGTCCCAAAAAGTTTAAAAGACTTACAGTGAGCTCGATGCATTGGTCCTGACTTTTGGCAGCAATTAGTATGTCGTTTACTGTCGTGGGTCGAGGTGGGACAGCGACACGGTTTCAGGATACCAGCTTGCTTTATTGCAACAGTGTATCTACCTTTATACAGTTCCGGGTGACACGTATACACAACATTGGTTTACCACTATCATAACAACTCATGATTGGACACATAGCCATATGTCTTAACACAATAGGTTAACATTCCTAACAGGAAACCCACTCTGTGTTACAGTCCCCACTGTCTGTGGTTAACCTTCTGCCAGGTGTAAGAAGTTCCATCTTCGGTATCTCAGTTTACAGAGAGCCCAGAACCAGCTGGGCTCCCCCACAGTTTACATACTGCAGGACAACTCCTTCTGGCTGCTGTCTTCTCCAGTCCTCCAGTTCTTTTGCCAGTTGGTTTCCAAATATCGTCGGGCTATTTTTATAGCCTTGCGGTAGGACCGTCCATGTAAGTTGAGTCCTTCTCCCTGTCTCCGGATTTTCTCATTCAAAAGCAAAAAGCTCTTGGCTGTCCTTATGCACAGGAATGCAGAAAAAGGCATCCTTTAGATCAAGCACATAAAACCACCCTAATTCCTCTGTTAATGTGGTTAACAAGGTATAGGGGTTCGCTACTACAGGGTATATATCCTCAGTTATTCTGTTGATTGCCCTCAGATCTTGGACAAATCTATGGACCCACAGTCCGCCCTTGTTCCCCAATTAACCTGTGCGTAAAACTTACTTATCTTCAAGGTCATACTCGAAAGTTTCCCAAGTCAATCTCCTCTTCCAGGGAGCTAACAGACCCGCTGTTAAGCCCTACAGGGTTGGATCAAGGGTTGGAGTTGATGATCTCGGAAGTCTCTTCCAACCCAGTCGATTCTATGATTCTATGATTCTGGTAAGTAAAGCAAAAGCTTCATGCCCAAAAAAAGCAAATTAAGGAATTCATTCACTACTTCCCATCAGCAGGCAGATGGTTAGCCATATCCAGGAAAACAGGGCTCCATCAAATGCAACAGTTACCTGAGAAGACAAACGCCATAACTCCAAATGTTCCCCTGTCCTCCTTCTTTACCTAGCTTTTATAAAAGAAGGTGAATTGATAGGTGTGGTGGTTGACTTTGGCTGGTCACCAGGTGCCCACCTAAGCCGCTCTATCACTCCGCCTCCTCAACTAGACGGGGAGAAAATACAAGAAAAGGCTTGTGGGTTATGATAAGGACAGGGAGCTCACTCAGGAATTACTATCACTGGCAAAACAGACCTTGCTGGGGGAAATTTATTTAATTTATTACCAATCAAATTAGAGTAGGATAATGAGAAATAAGAACAAATCTAAAAACTCCTTTCCCTCACCCTTCCCTTCTTCCCAGGCTCAACTTCACTCCCTCCTCTTCTAGTTACTCCCCCAAGGGACACAGGGGGATGAGGAATGCAGGTTGTGGTCAGTTCATAGTGCTTTGTCTCTGCTGCTCCTTCCTCCTCCCTGCTCCAGTGTGGGGTCCCTCCCATGGGAGACATTCCTTCACAAACTTATTGAATGTGGGTCATTCCCACAGGCTGCAGTTCTTCACAAACTGCTCCAGCATCAGTCCTTTCCATGGGGTACAGTCCTTCAGGAACAGACTGCTCCAGCATAGGTCCTCTATGGGGCCACAGGTCCTACCAGCAAACGTGCTCTGGCATGGGCTCCTCTCCATGTGCCACAGTTTGCTCCAGGAGCCTGCTCCAGCACAGACTCTCCATAGGGTCACAAGTCTTCCTTCAGGTACATCCACCTCCTCATGGGGTTCTTCACAGGCTGCAGGGGAGATCTCTACTCCACTGTGGACCTCCATGGGCTGCAGGGGGGCAACCTGTGTCATCATGGTTTGTTGCCGTTATGTCGTGACAGTCCAAAAAACACACACAAGAAGGCTGATTCAGGGCAACATAAGAAAAGGTCTCCTTTATTAAAAATCCCAGCTCCTTTTATATCATTGTCAAAAAGCAACAAGCAAGCAGCGAGCAAGTAGCAAGCAAGCAACACCATCCTAATTGGCCACTCATCATTACTGATACACTTGGCAGCAATCGTGAGACACCTGGAGATGTCCAAGGACAAGGCTGTGGTTCTCACATACCAAATCTATGGACTCCCAGTCCACCCTTGTTCCCCAATTAACCTGTGCGTAAAACTTACTTATCTTCAAGGTCATACTCGAAAGTTTCCCAAGTCAATCTCCTCTTCCAGGGAGCTAACAGACCTGCGGTTAACCCCTACAATGGTTTTTACCACAGGCTGCAGGCAAATCTCTGCTCTGGCACTTGGAACACCTGCTCCTCCTCCTTCACTGACCTTGGTGTCTGCATAGTTGTTTGTCTCACATATTTTCTCTCCCAACTGCTGTGCTGCTGCACAGCAGTTTTTACCCTTTCTTCAATATGTTATCATAGAGACACTACTAACATCGCTGATTGTCTCAACTTTGACCTGTGTTGAGTCTGTCTTGGAGCTGACTGAAATTGGCTCTGATATGAGGATATCTTCTGGTTTCTTCTCACAGAAGCCTTCTAGTATCTGAAGGGGACCTACAGGGAAACCAGAGAGGGACTCTTCATCAGGAACTGTAGTGATAGGACAAGAAGTAATGGGTACAAATTGAAATATGGGAAATTTGGGTTGGATATTAGGAAGAAATTTTTTACTGTGAGGGTGGTGAGACACTGGGACAGGTGCCCAGGGAGGTTGTAGATGCCCCAACCCTGGCAGTATTCAAGACCAGGTTGGATAAGGCCTTGAGCAACCTGGTCTGGTGGGAGGTGCCCCTGCCCATGGCAGGGGGTTTGGGACTAGATGATCTTTAAGGTCCATTTCAACCCCTTAACATTCTATGATTCTATGATTCTATAAGCCACCCCTGCAGCCCTCAGCTGACAAAACCTTGCCATGTAAACCCAATACAATATTGTAAAATAAGAATAAGGTTCAGAAATTGCCATTGATAAATGCACTGGTATCAGAAAGCATAAGCAATAGTATTACCATGGAATAAAGCTTACCCAATAAGCATCCCTACAAGGGAAGAGATGGATACAACCCATTGACTATCCCAGAATACAAAGGTGGACCTCCCTCCCCTCTTAAGTTATATTTAAGTTGTTTTCTTTGAGAGTGGGGAAAAGATAAAGTTTTGGTTGATGTCATTTCATGATCAGGTAGAGTTTGAATGACTTTAGTTATACATGTAAAGCATGTACAGGTTTTACTTCATTAGCATACACAGGGTCGTGAAAAGTAATATACAATTTGTTTGGGCCATTCCTTTGGCTTAGTTCCCATTAGCTGCATTGTTTTAAACAGCATGAGCGCAACACCTCCATGCCGCTCCAACCTTTGTTTCGTGCCTCTTTCAGGGCAATACACCAAGCTTCTTCAGTGTTCCTGATCCTAAGGTTGCAGACAGTTTGTTTCTGGTGAACTATTGCCAATGCGGACACTTCTTGCTGATCTTTGTCTTTCAGTATTTTTCCACAGCTTATCCTGCAGATGAAGATGAGGTCAGAATGACTGAGCATACAATTTACATGAAAAAGAGAAATAGAGTTTAGAGAGTAGATTTGGGATGATGAATTTTTTATAAATAGATTTAACAAGCAGGAAAAGTAAAAGAAAATGGTGGGAAAGAAGACCACTTTACTTCCATTATCTCCATCCCCAGCCTCTCCTGCTGCTGCATCCACCCTATGGGGTAATGAAAAAGAGCCTCAGCTCAATCCAGCTTAACCACTGACATCCACAGCTTGCAGACTTTCTCACATTCTGCATTCAAGCACATCTATTCAAAAAAAACCAAACCCTTTTTTTGAAGAGTCAATGTATTGAAAAATCCATCAACTTCTCAAGGAAATTCTCCAGTATAACTCCATTCTTGAAAGTTCACCTTCCACCTATTCCACCTATTCTGATACTTTTGCCAGCAAGTTTTAAAAGGTTGGTGAATACCTGGCAGCTAGCCAAGGTCAACCCCTGTCCTGGTTCCAGCCAGGACAGGGTTAATTTTTGCAGCAGCTGGGAGGGCATCACCAGGACTGTGATGGTTCGGACTTGGCTCCCTGTCAAATGCCTGAACTCACAGTAACAACTCCTTCCCCCTCCCTTCTTTTCTTAGGGCAAAGGATAAAAAACTATAAAAATTGAAGAACTTGAAATCAATTTAATTATATAAAAATATATTACAGTTATATACAATTAAAATACTATGTACACAGTGAAGGGAATCCAAACACCCCCAAAGGGAAAGGGAAAGGGGAAAAAAGGGACAAAAAGGGACAAAAGTAGGATAGATGTGCACAATCAAAAGAACTAGCAAAATAAAGAATTAGCAAAACAAATCTCACCATGTCCCTCAGAAAAACAAGATGACGAGACACGGCCAGCACTCTCCAACCTCCAGACCAGTGGTTGCTGCAGGCCTCACCCTCTAGATAAGGGAGACCAATGCAAGGACCCACTGCTCCTGAACTTCACCGGAAGAGAGCGAGGTCTCTAATCTCCAACTTATTTATACCCTGGTTTATATAAAAATCATATGGAATACTGGGTACATGGCCGTTTCCTTGGTTACGAGCTGGTTACCAGGAAGACCTAGACCAAAACCACCACAAGGACCCTGTGGTTATTCTATACCACCTCACATCATATGCAGAGGATGGAGGGGGATGGGTCCCTTCCAGTCCGGCTGGTGGTGGGGTGAGCAGTCAGGGTAGCACTGGGTTCTGTGTGGTGAGCACTTACGTGTTGATGCCTAAAATGTGAGAAAAATCTCACCAGGCAACATTAGTATAGATAAGATATAGAACAGCTCTTTAATGAAGGCCTTCTGGTGCATGGAGTACAAAGAGCACGCCCTTGTCCAGAGGTTCTACAATTTTGTAGTACTATCCATCCAATCCGAGAACTATCTGCCCCTAGATCCTCCCTGGAATTGCCCCCCTGGCACACCTCCCTGGAATTGAGTCAGAGGTCTCAAGACCCCTTTCTTCCTCATCTTCCTCTTTCTTCTTCTGGCATGCATTATCTTTGGAGCTTCTCCAAGGTTCCAGGGCTCTAAGGTTGCTTTGGCTACAACCTTGCTGGTGATATCTTATTGTTCCAGTCTAGGGTGCATATGTTCTCAAACAGGATGCGTTTGCTAGAGTCCTTCCTTGAAAAGAACCTTAAACAAGCTTAAAGAATTTAGAAAATTTGATATGAAGCATGAGAATAAGGTTTGGTGTCAACTGCTATTCTAAAGTACGAGAAACTACACAGCTATGCTAAAAATACATATTTACTACACAGCTACATTAAAATCCACAGAAAGCTAAAAATCTTAAAAATTCTAAGGCATCAGTGTAAATTGTTATCCTCTCTTGTACACTCTGTTATTAATATTGCTGTTGTTTCTGTTTGTTTTCTTATTTCATTGCTGTTTCTAGTAAACTGTTCTTATTTCAACCTGTGATCTTCCCCTTTTTTGCCTCCAATTCTCCTCTCCATCCTGCCACAGGGGGAGTGAGCAAGTGGTGCATGGTTTGGAGTGTTCCAGTGAGAACACTAAATTGGGGAGCGCCATTCCTAAACCACAATGGTCTTATTTGGTGCCCAATGTTGTTGCAGTTTGTGTGGTTTCTGGAGGGTCTCTCCCGGCTGCTCTGTGAAGGTTTCCAGGGCTGAGATCACCCCCTCCCCCCCCCCGCTGCCCGTCCCTCGTGGCCGGGACAGGCAGCGGAGGGGCCTCTGCCAGGAGAGAGAGAACACGCAGCACGCAGGGAGGCCAGCAGGAGAGAGAGTTTATTCAAATGTCCCCCAGCTTATATCGGCTGGTGGGGAGAAAAGGGGATTGGACATTTAGACAGCCAATACAAAGAGACAATATAGTAACTATAGAAACACAGGAACCAATGATATACAAGTGAGTTATCAGCTTCAAACTCCTACAATTTACCCTTTCTTATTTATAATAAAGACAAACATTTGTAATTTTAATGGGATTTAACAATGAAGATTTTCTAGTCAAACCTGGGGTAAAGGTTAATACAAAGGTTGATATGAAAATGAGAAAGCGAGTAAGACAATTTGTATTGAACTTGGGAAAACAGGTAATTTTAAGACTTATGTTCCTATTATAAAAAGAGAAATCTCCAAATTAAATTTTACTTGAGTCTGTTTGGGTGACTCTACCCGAGCCAGTTAGGGTGGCTTCCAACCCCGGCTACTGACACCTCCTGATCAACTAGGCTAATCCTTGGTTGTTTCAGGAGACCGTTCCACCGCGCATAC